AGGGTCAGAGGTGGGGGGAGGGCTGGGGGGAGAGCAAAGCCCACCCCAGGGGATGTTCACCTCTGTTCCTCCCTCTCAGCTCTGTGGCCTTGGACAAGTCCCTTTACCTGCCTGGGCCTCCATCTTCCCACCTTAAAAGTGGGGTGACAGTCTGACCCTCTACCCTGGGCCGCAGGAGGGAGGCCAGGCTCAGGGCACCGTACAGTGAGGCTGCCTCCTCCCGGCCCAGGTCAGGCTGTCTGTTCATCTGTCCCTACAGTGGGAGGACTCCTCCATGCACCCACAGATTGTCGGATGCACCCGATGGGAGATGGGGGTGCGTGTCCTTCCCGAACCCCCTTCCCTCACTGCTCATCCATTTGGCTTGTGTTCATTAGGCGCCTACTGCAGTGTCCTGGGTTGGAGCGCAGTGTGGTCTCTGCCCTTGGGGAATGTCCACGCGGGAGGAATGAATTCATTCACCCCAGCCTCACGTCCAGGGATGTCATCACCACCTGCCACGTGCCTGCCCACGCTGAGCGCTGGGCCACAGCCTTGGGTCTCCCCCATCCCTGGCCCCACCAGGCTCACACCCAGCACGGCCCCCACAGGTCTCCGCAGCAGGCAGCCCAGGGACGGTGGGGGCTGAGGGTGGGCCCCCCAGCACAGGGCAGAGGGCTGCCCTGAGGAGGTGAGCAGCGGAGGCCCAGGCTCCTGGCCTCAGTTTCCCTCTGGGAGCAGGAGGGTCAGGCGGCTCTTGAGCGAACGTGGCAGGAGTCTCGGGTTTTGGCGCCAGATTTACAGATCAGAAGCAAAGCGAGACGCAGGCGAATGAAAGGAAGGAAAGGGAGCTGGGGTTAACCTGGATTCTTGCTTCTCTCCTCTCTCCCTGCCAGCGCCAAGTGCTGCGTGGGAGCCGCGGGAAGGCGCCCGCCCAGGCCCATTTTGCGCCATCAGGAGCTCTTACTCTCCAGCACCTGTCACCTTGCCTTCCGTCACTCAGAGCTTTTACTGCCCTCTGGCAACAGGGCTGCCAGGACGCAGGGGCTGAGCCGGATGCAGAAACGGCCCCTTGGCCACTGCACGTGGCTGTGTGGTCTGGGGACCGGCTCCCCCTGTTTTCTCAACTGAGGTTGGGGCATGGAGAAGGTGGTTCTTTTTTTCTAATAATAGATGGAGTCCCTATTCTGTCCAGCCCCACATGGCCTTCAGGTGACAGCGAATCAGTGGCTGCCTGGGTGGGGCACAGGATGGCAAATGCCCCTTGCCCTCCCGCCCGGCCAGGCCCCTGTGCTGTGAGGTTAAAGGAAGAGGCTGTGTAGAGAAGGGACACGGCTGTGACACACCCACTGTGCACCTCGGGGAGCACCCACTGTGCACCTCGGGGAGCACCCACTGTGCACCTTGGGAAGGACCCACTGTCCACCTTGCTCAGGGAGGACCCCAGCAGCGCAGGTGGGCCCTCTGTCTACAGATATAAATCTAACCCACAGAAACTACTGGAACCAAGAGGCTGGGGCCAGGGGAGGTTCACAGAGGTCCGAGACGCAGGCTGGCAGTTCCCATCTGTGACGTGGGACAACAGGGTGGAAGGAGTCGGAAGGACGCAGGGGTAACCTGGCTCGGGGAGCAGGGTTATCACTGCCCTGCTCTCTGCCCCTCCCCGCCCCCCTCATTTCTCTGTGCTTGGCCACGGGCCACATGCACTGCGTCCACTGGGGTACTGGTCATTCTGTTGCTTCAACAAGGAGGGTGCCTCGTGGGCCCGGGTCACGCTGGCTCCGAGCTCAGGGAGTGGCCGGCCTCGGTGGCACCGTGAGTATTCAGTATTTACGGTTACTGCACTTCCAGGCCTGTCTCCTCCACAGCTGGATAAATGTTTACTCAACTCGAGAACAAAGGAAAATGACTAACGTGACTAAAAGTCGCCGACAGTGCCACCTCCGGAGAGACCTGAGACTAACTTTTTAAGATGAGGACTTCGGGGCTGTTCCGAGTGTGAAGCCTCCATTTCTCTTGTGTGGCACATAGCTCATTCTTTCACGGCATGTGGGGAGCACGCCCCTCTGTCGTGAAAATTACTGATAGGCACCACTTTTATGACCGCCTGGTATTCCGTTCCGTGGACATGCCATGTTTCATGACTGTTTCCCGGCTGACAAGCCTTTCGTGCCTCCCATATTTATGTGTAAAACAGTCATGGACACCCCTGCAGGTCAGATTATGAGGATGGGCGCGGACAGCGGGAACACTTTAAAGCCCTTGCTGCATGTGGTGACGTTTCCGTCCTGAGAGTTTATATCATTAGTTCCTTCGGCCAGCAGGGCAGAGGGCACTCACTTCAGGCCAGTATCGAGAATGGTCTTTTTGAAACCTTTGCAGATTGGAGAGTGATAAGTAATATGCAATTTCTGTTCAAATTTGCATTTGCTACTCTGTTTTTTAAAAAAGAAAAGTGAGAGGCCAAGACATTTGTTGACTCCATTTTTTAAATAAAAAACATAAAAATCAATCACGTATCTGCGTATGTGTTTTACGTATTTAGCTGTACGGCCTGTAGAAATAGGTAGACGGAAACACCAAGGTGGCCAATATTTGTTATCAGGTAGAATTAATTAGGTTTCACTGTAAGTAACTGAACCTGGGGTAAAAAGTGGACTTGACCAAGACAGAAGCTTATTTCTCTTGTACGTAAAAGCAGCCCAGATGTAGAAAGTCCAGTCTGGAAGCTCTGCAGAGACACTAGGGACAGAGGCTCCTTCTGAGCCACTATCCCACTGTCTCATCATATGGCTCTTGCCTTCATGGTCTAAGATGATTGCTAGAGCTCCAGCCATCACATCAACATCATATCAGGAAGGAGGCAGGAAAGAGGGAGAGAAAGCCCTGCCTTCAAAGGAGGGTTCTGAGAAGTCTCCCATGACAACTCCACTTACATCTCACTGGTCATGTTTTAGAAGCAGGACCACAGTAGCTGCACGGGAAGCTGAGAAATGTAGTCTTTTAGGTGGGAAGCAATGTACCAGCTAAACTGTGGGATTTATTAAACTAAGATGAAGAGGCAGAATGGATGTTGAAAGTCTTCAAGAGCTTCCACAGTGGTTCCCTTGAGGACTGAGGAAGTGAGACTGCCCTGGAAAGGAGGAGTGGAGAGGCAAGCACGTAGACGTGGTATAGATACTTGTATATTCTATTAGTTCTAGTGAATACATTTTAAAGAGATAATTTTGTAAAGTTTAAAAACATTTTCATAAGTACGAAGGGGAAATGTTTCCCACAGATCTTTCTATAAAATCCATAGAACAGCCTATGGAATCAACACCTCATCAGGCTGTTTCATCATTTTGAATATATCAACTCACTGTGTACTGGCCGCCAAGGTTTCTGATGAGAAATCTGCTTAACATCTTATGGAGGATCTCTTGCATGTGACAACTTGCTTCTCTCTTGCTGCTTTCAATATTCTTTCCTTGTCTTTCAACAGTTTGATGTCTTGATGTGGGTTTCTTTATGTTTATACTGTTTGGGATTCATCACCTTTTTAGATATTTATATTCATGTCTTTCATCAATTTTGGTACGTTTTTGGCCACTATTTCTTTAATAATCTTTATGAAATAATCTTTATGAAATCTCTTCCCCTCTGGAATTCCCACAATGAGTATGTTGGTTCATCTGATGTTACCCTACAGGTCCCCTAGATGGTGTTCACTTTTTTCCAATCTTTTTTCTTTCTGTTCTTCAGACTCAATAGTTTCAATTGTCCTTTCTTCAAGTTCTCTGATTCTTTATTCTGTCTGCTTAAATTTGCTTTTGAATCCCTCTAGTGGATTTTGCATTTCAATTGTTATTCTTTTTAGAGTTTCATAATTTCTTTTGGTTCCTTTCTATATTTTCTATCTATTCCAGTGATATTTCCAACTTGTCTACACATTGTTTTCTTGACTTCCTCCATATTTTTCTTCAGTTCTTTGAGCATCCTAAAAGATAGTGGTATTAAAGTCTTTGTCTAGTAGGTCTGCCATCCACTCTTTCTCAGGAACAATTTCTGTTGGTTTATTTTTTCCCTTCCAATGGATCATACTCTTTGTATGACTCGATTTTTTGTTGTTGTTGAAAACTGAACATTGAATACAATAATGTGGTAACTATGGAAATCAGATTCTTCCCCAGGGTTTGCTATTTTGTTTCTGTTTTTGATTGTTGTAGGCTGTCTCTGTACCAGGGACCAGCATGAGGTGTAAATTTAGGTTCTTCTTAGGTCTTTTCCTAGCCTGAACTTTCCCCTGGGCATGCATGGGGACTTTCTAAATTCTTCCATGTATGTGGTAGCTTTTGAATGTCCTAGTCCTTAAATATCTGACTCTCATAGGGAAAAAGAAGGAAAACAAAGTAGGTAAAACACTTTAAATTCCCTGGAAGCTGCTTCAGCCAGTAGTGGTTGCAACAATGACTGCCAGGTGGGATGTACACACCCCTTCATGGTCAAACGCATCAATCAAGAGCCAGAGCACAGACTCCCGATATTTGGACGACAGGTCCTTGTGCCCACTCTGGATCCTGCAAGTTGTGTGCATGCTGCCCTGGGAACATGTGCACAGCTGCCCACCACAGGGCTGGGGGCGGGGGATGGATAGCTACAAGCACGGTGAGAGCTAACATTATGGAAATTAACCTGACTTACAGTCCAAACATTCCCCTGAGAGCTGCAAGCCTTTGAATAGGCTCCAGAGTCCACAGCAGTTCCATGAGACAGCTTCTGTCCTGTAGCTGTGGTCTTGGTGAGGACTCCTGCTGCCCTGACTCCATCCTTGCCTCTGATGTCACTTCCACCTTCATTCTTATGCCCCATGAATTTTATTTCACTTTATATAAACTTATTACAAATAAAGGGACATTGAAAGTAAATCTGCATTTACTTTATGCTTATGCATTTTTTTAATATAATTGACAGTTATTTCGATTCTCATGCTCTTTTGTCAGTTTATAGCCTTTACCTATCTTTTTCCTGTTAGAAAACATGAGTATTTAAAAAAAACACACATTACTAGTAAATAATTCAAGCAAAGGATACTGATAAATGGAATAAAACTGTTCACCCTTCACAGCTGTCACATAGGTGAATTAAACAGCAGAACGGCATCACTTACACTATCTCAAGTACTGTAGAAGGAAACAGATGATACAACACAGTCCGGCAAAGCTGCGTGAAAAGTGGTCTAACTTCACCAGCAGCAAGATGGAGCCCTTTAGGAAGGAACTGAGCTACACGAATACTTCCATCCTTTGTCCAGAAGTTCCTCGTAGACTATCACTTGAGAAAATAGGAGAAGTCCCCGCAGGCACAATTCCGTGCGTCGCGGCACTGTTTCTAACTATGAAAAACAGAGACGACCCAGGTGCCCACCCACAAGGGATCTGGCTGAGCTACAGGTACGCAGTCTCCTCGGCGAGAGCCCTGCCGTCACTTAACGTGGGGGTCATGTACTGTTCTGAGAAATTCTCCTGCTACACTGTCATGTGCAAGCAGGCTGGCGACGGAGGGCCTGCTCTGATCAGCTCTGGCATGTGGCCACCGGGGGAGGGAGGCTGTGGGTGAGTCCCCTCTGCTCTGACGTCTATTGTTTTCATGATGCTACTCAGGCAATGAAAGAAAAAACAACACCGGGGTAGTTTAGGGGAAGGAAATAGGCTAGAGTTACAAATGCACCGCAGAACGACAGAATCTGATTAGGAAATTCAATGAGTCAGTTCTACAAGTTGTTGGTGGCAAACACTGGGGTCCAGCTGCTCCCCTGAATTTGGTGAGGAGGAAGGAGGACCCTCTCTCCCGCTGGACAAAGTCCTCAGCAAGACCAGATGTGGTCTCGAGGACCGTATGTGGGCTCTGGGGGGGGGTTCCCTGAGAGCAGCCTGACTCCGCTGTCATCCTCAGCAGCCCGCTACTGGGTCCTGGACATGGGCCTCTGAGCGTGGACACTTAGCACCAGAGCAAATGACACAGACCCAAATGGGTCCTTCATCTTCCCTTGTAACTGAATGACATGAGGGGCATGGAAGCCTCTCATTTCTGTCCCCCACTTCCAATGTGGGGGCTCTATCTTCTCCCATGGCCTCACGGCTCACTTCCATGGCCTCATTTCCATGACAGGGAGGAAGAGAGAAGCTGGCAGGTGAGAACACGTCCGGGGCCTGCCGTGGGGCCCACGGCGGCGGTTCCTGCAGATCCCCCCGAGCACGTGGAGAAACGCATGTGTACCATCCCTGTGTGCGGCCCCGGGGTCCAGGGAGGTGCCCCACGCCCACGGTCACAGGAGCTGTGCTGTGCCATGGGCCCCGCAGAACATCCTCAGAAACGGCCTGGCTGCTGACCCAACCACACTTTCCCAGGAGACAGGCAGCAGCCCAGGGTCCAGGTCCCAAAGCCGGAGGGACAGGAAGGGACTCTGGTGTCCACCTAACCCACCACCAGGACAAGGGCCCAGGACAGAGGACACCGATGCTGCAGCCCCTGGGGGTGGAGGAAAAGGTCCTCAGAAGCTGAAAAGTCCCCTCCGCCAGGGACGCAGCTGCCCTGAGTGAAACCATTAGCTTTTACTTACTCAGCTCAGCAGGCCTGGAGTTAATGTGTTAAGCCTGCTCCTTTTGTGTCTCTTCTTTAATTTCCTTCCTTCCCTTTCACAACAATCCACTGCCTCGAGGCTTGCAGGACCCAGAGGTCTGTCTCCTCTCACCACCCTCACTCTGGGCCCTACAGCCAGGCTCTCTCCTGCCCCAGGGCCTTTGCACATGCTCTGCCTTCCACCTCAATAGCTCCCTGCCCACCTTTGGGCTTCAGAGGAAATATCCCCCTCGGGGACCCTCCATCATTCTGTCTCTGCCTTTAGTTCCCTTCACAGCACAAATCACAACTTGCGAATATCTTACCCATCTGGCTGCAACTTGATTTTCTGCCTGATTTCTCTCTGTAAAAGCCACGAGAGGCAGGGAACGGCGGCAGCACCACTTCCCAGCACGCTTGCTTGCACCTGCTCTGTGAATATGTGTGGGAGGCAGGGTGCAGCAGTCTGTGTTCTAAATCATGCACGTGGCGCGGGGAGCTGCAAAGAGGGCCATGGGACGGCCTCCGGAGGGAGAGGGAGCACGAGGCTGGTTTCAGACCCACGCAGGCTTGGGTTTGGCCCCGCTTTGGGTTCTAACTTGCTGTGCCACCTCAGACAGGTTACTCAGCCTCTCTGAATGTCAATCACCTGCCTTGTAAAACGGCAATAACATATGAGCAGGGAGGGGCTGTGGAGATCAGTCCCCAGGTAGGGCCTGGAGCAGGGACAGGGCAGCTCCTGGGTCCCCCATTTTTGTCTCTCCAAGCAAGGGGAAGGACGTAGCGTTAATTGAGCACCTACTATGTGCCAGGCACCACACTAGGCAGTGGGAAAGCAGAGGTTAATAAAACAGAAACTGCCCCCATCTCTCAAAACTCTAGCTGAAAGCAGGAGACCAACACAGGGGGTCCCTAGCACCCTGGGTGTCAGGAAAGAGAAGGGAGGGATGCCAGCAGGAAAGGGAGCCCTAGACCAGCCTGGAGGGTCACTGGCAAGTGACGTCTCTCCTGAAACAGCCCCTCTGGGGAAAGACAGGTTGGCAGAGGGAAGAGTGCGGCAGAGGCCCTGAGAGTGGACAAAGCTGGGCATGTGTGAGGCCGGAGCGGGGTAGGGAGGGGAGAGCAGCTGGAGGAAGCCCGGCCACACTTGCTCTTGTCCGTCCTGACCCGGGTTCACCAGACATCTGTGCAGGAGTACCGCTGCCCACGAGTGAGCACAAGCTCAGGAGGTGACCACAGGGGCCTCAAGGAAACCTCTCACCTTTGGTAATGCGTACTTCGGTAGCTTCATCAGGACAAAGTCATTGTGACGATAAGACACGTAGTATTTGGTCTGGTTGGCTGAGGTCGCCTAACAGGAAGGAGAAGCATGTTTTTGAGAGGCTAGGTTTCCTTTCAAGCGAGATCCTCATGAATGAAAAACTATACTTTATATTCAGCTCATGAAAAAAATGCCTTTTTACTTAGCTTATACCTGCCCTGCCTGAAGTAGACAAACTCCTATTCGCCCTTCAAAGCCCCATACCAAACGCCCCTCCTCTGAGAATCTTTGTCCACCCCCTTCAGTCAGAACTAATCTCTTTCCTCCCGCTCTGCCAACACCTTGTTTCCCTGCAGCTGGGTTACAGAGCCAGGTGGAATGAACTTTCTAAGATCTGAGCTCGGGGAGAGGGGAGAGGTTGTTCTGGAAGGATTGTGCTCCTCACCCCAGAAGAAGTAATCAAGAAGTGGTATGACCAATTGTTCACAGAAGTTCCTGAATGTCAGACCCCGTGGTTTCTGAGGGTGGTCCTAACTATGACCTGAGTTCCTGTGTGTCCAGACAACAGGGTCCTGGTCACTGGGCTGTGGACAGCTGGTGCCTGGCAGCCAAGGGCAACGGCCAGAGACAGTTCCAGAGTCACCAGAACCCAATGGAGCGAAATGAGTGTGGGTGGGGCCCCCGCTGTGGGAGGCTTCTGCTGGGGAAGGCAGGAGGGGCAGCACACCCGGCCCAGGGCTCGGCTTTGAGGGGCGTTGGGGGGCCTGCAGCCATGGCCACAGGGCGGGGGACGCTGAATTAAGCAGCACTTGGAAGTCAAACAGCCATTCTACGGCCTCCTGTCTGGGTGATTCCATTTCCCCCGAGAGGCTCACACTCCACGTGGCCTAGCGGCGGATTCCGAGAGCAGAAGCGACGGTACCTTAAGGAAGATGTAGTCGTCCTGCAGGATCAGAGACCGGCGGTCAATGGGGCCGGCGAACGGGGCGCTCAGCCGCTTGCCGGTGCAGTTGTGGATGGAGGCGGTCATGTACTGAACACCTGTGAGGGACAGCGGGCGCGGGCACATGGCATCTCCAACACGGAGCCGCCGCCGACACGGCCCAGCGTGGGCCTGCCCTCCCCGGAGCTCGTCCGCTCCAACGGAAACCGGCGGGGGAGGCGCAGCGCCCCCGAGTCTGCAGGGGACCGTGGCCGGGGCAGGGCCGGGCACACAGGCGGGGCCTCCACTCTCGCCCCCTCCCTGCTTGCCCAAGGGCCGACTGTGTCTGCTGCCCCCACCAGGCAAGGGGCAGGG